GGCATTTCGCGCATTATGTGATACTGCGTCTATCGAGTGGACTGTTTAGTGAGATCCAAAGAAAATCACGTTTATCGCATCAGAATCGTCTAAGATATATCTAGTGCACTCCAAGTTTCACAATGGACCACTAGATAAGGTACGAATTTCAGCATTCTGATACATGTTTCTTAACCAAAATTTTACGTTAAACACGATGCACACAACGAAAATTACCGAAATTAACTCCTTACGAAGATATTTAATGATTCTTAATGCGTGAATTCAAACCACCCGCTCATGAAAACACAATGCTCTACGTGATTCACATCGCGCGCTAAACGTTATCATGACAGTCTCTGCGATTTAAAAATCTGGCAACCTTAATCTTGACGCTTTGGCTCAGTTATAGCAAATTGCTAATAGTTTGAACAACACATGATGGAAAATGAACATTGCTCGATTGAGAAGCTTGCTGAAACCGTTGTAGTGGGCGATTTGACTCACGTAGAGTTTTGAGTTTCTTATGAGTGGGCAGTTCAAATTCCTCGTAACCAATGTGAAATAAAAACGTTAATGTCTTCGTTAGGAGTTGGTTTCCGTAATTTTTGTTGTGTGAATCGTTTTCCACGTGAAATTCTGGTTAAGAAACATGTATCAGATTGCTTAAATTCGTACCTNACTTAAGGACACTTTAAATGTCCAAGTCGGAACAGATACGGTAACTTCAATGACCTCTATGAAAATTGTCTGTCCATAGTGAAAAGTGAGCATTTTCGAGTTACCGAGTTGGTGTGTTTTCATTCTCACCGATTCAATTATGAATATTTTTCCTTGAAATTTTCAGGAACTTCAGATTAAATTGCGAACCAAATTATCTGAAAAGTTAGAAGGAAACTATTCATAAGTTTACCAGAAAATTTGCGTTTTATCAAAGGAAACTTGGCAACGCCTGGAGGTTCATACGTCGTTTTTCCTGAGGACGGCAGTATAGTGGAAAGTTAGCATGTCGTCCTTAACTACTAGCAACACCTGCAGGCCGATTATTGAAACGGATAGACAAAGCTATAGACGAAGACGACAAAAGGGATTTGGAGGGATCCTATTGGTGGAAGCGGGTGGTGGCAATGGACATAGGAGGTAGGTAATGGACTAACTAACGGCAGCTCACGAGTAACCCGACAGCTAGTCCATCATTTTCTTCCTTAGTCTATAAGGACCAAACATGTCAACCAATAGGATCGCTCTATACTCCCTATGTCTTCTTTGTCTATCGCTTTGTCTATCAGTTTCAACAATCGGCCCGCTGACTCACTTAACGCTGCCAAATCGGGCCAAGGCAAAAGGACTCTTGGGGTAGGCATTTCGCACATTATGTGATACTGCGTCTATCGAGTAGACTGTTTAGTGAGATCCAAAGAAAATCACGTTTATCGCATCAGAATCGTCTAAGATATATCTAGTGCACTCCAAGTTTCACAATTCGCTCAGTGCTGAAAAAATTCCGGTTGTATGAATCAAAATTTCCGTCCTCTATTTCATCCTAACTATTCAGGTGGTCAAACTGAACTTCCCAAGTGTGTAACGAAACGTTCGGTTCATACGACTGAACTTCTTTCATCTATTACCGTACCACCATCCTTACTTTACAAGTTCTGTTACACTTTGTGAAGGTTCAATTTGACAAACCGGATGTTTGGGACGATATTGAACACAGGACGTTTAGTTCATACAATAGAGTTTTTTTTTAGTTTAGGTTATATCATACATTTTGAAATGCATCTCCAAAGCGAGCATTTTTAAAACAACCACTGGCTTTACGATTTGCCTCGAGAAAGGTGAAAACAAACCTACACCGTGCACTAAATTACGTTTAAAGATATACTATACTTCGATTCTCACTGAAATCAAACTTTTTAGGTTCTGTCAACCGAAGTTTAGTAACTTAGCCTATAATGATTTATTTTCTTAGTATTTGATGCGAGTGCATGAGTTCATGTCCAAATCCCCCATAAGTAAACAAAATTGGCAGTTGTCAGAATAAACGGGTGCAATTGAACAATTCGCTGGATATTGGGAGAAGTTCTATGCGATGTTGCAACCGCGGAGGGTGCCAAATTAGGCAGTTTTTCCCCGACTATTTTATGTAAAATAGGCCAGGTTTTTGCACTATCCGGTGACACGCGGCGTGCGTGTTAGCGCCGGTGTAGTGCAGTAATTACTTCCGCCTGACGCAATTATCCTAATACATACTTCGGCTCAGCTCTCTTGCCAAATAGCCGGTAACACTCCTAACCATTGATGTAAAAATTGTGATTTTTTTATAAAATTCGCAACAGTGCTGATGCATACTTGGAGTAGTGATTGGCGCTGAAGTATACATCACAATTTCACCTCCTCGCCGTAGGGCACTGGTTGTTTCAAGTAATTGCGTTTTGATTGCTACACAACTTCCCTATTTGCAGATGAAACGCGCGTCTAAAAGGCCCGGTTTTTGAGTTAAAGGAGGGTTAAAGGGAATCATCCTAATTGTTGCCGGTGAACCCACTATTTTCCCGCTGAGTTTGAGACTGGTTGAGTTGGGACACTCGGTTCGCCTTAACTTTTTTTGGTATGCAACATGGACTATCGGTGCGCAGTAATAATTGAATCCTTCGCGTGTTATTCGCGATGTAGCACAAGGCAACTTAATCTGGCGTAGAGGCTGCCTGACAAAAATTTAAAAAAAAAACATTGTCATGTTTTTAAGTGTAACACAACCTCCCATTTTACCGATGCAAAGTGAAAATATATGACGGAAAAAAAGTAAAATTGGCAGGCCAGCATGTGACTTTTTTCCCTCTTATGAATTTAAAGATTAGTCGAATACTACTGCCTCACTAAGAAAAAACGTCGTAAGAATATTCAGACGTTACGAAGTTTTCTTGATATACCTTAACTTTTTTCTTCAAATTTGCAAATATTCACGATAAAATTGCGAGTAATATTGTCTGAAAAAATTAGGAAACAATATTTGCAACGTTTTCTAAAAATTCCCATATTATTCCACGAATTTTGGCAGTATCCAAAGGCCAATATGACGTTCTTCTTTTTTAGACAAATGGTTAAGCAAAAAAAATAAAAATAGAAAAATACGTCAAAATATACAGCGTAACAGCAGTGATTTAGTGTTCTCTTTGCGTAGGTAATTGTTCAATGATGAGAGAGAGACTTTGGAATTTCGTATAGTAGACGATAATTTCTCACTTATAATTCGGTTTTTGAAACTTTTGAAGTGTTCCTCATGCTTCACACGAAGTTGCGATGGTTTTAGATCCGCGGCGCTACTTGTAAACCTGTCCTGTGGTTCCCCGGTGGAGCACCATTCACACCTTTTTGGGTCGTTTATGCGAGGGTTTAATCCTGCTAACGAGGTTATTGGAGAGGACGTTAACACCCTCTTAGAACTTCTCTTTTCAGTGTTTGAACTTCCCATGCATCCCCCTATCCTCGCCTAAATCTGCGCATGAATTAGGTGATTGACTAAGGGGGTAGAAACTCTCATACTTTCATCACACACGCCTACACCCTATACTTGTTACTGCGCGTTCAATTGAATTCACACACATGTGCTTCAAGTTGGATTCCTAATTTGTAAATCTGTCGGAGTAGGATTTGGTATCGGCTTACTATTTGAAAAATCATTTTGAGGAAAGAGTTTTTCAGTGAAAAAGTTCATGTGCCTTAAGTAGAATGCTCAATTTACCAATCAGTCGAAGAAGGATATGGTACCGACTCCTTTTTGGATAATTTTATCGAAGAGGGTTTCAAATTTCTGCAAGAAACAAACCGTGTATAAATGATTTATCCTTTTTTTATTTCAAAATTAGTCTTGCGGTAGATTTTTACTCAATTTATTTGACAGTGTCTTGATGTATGCCTCTTTAAGATTAAAATGGCTTCAGAGGTAAACTTGGTATTACTACAGCTAAATAGCTTCAATTTGATTGAACCAGAGGTATTCATGAACTTTACTGTGAACGGAAAGTACACCCAAAACCAGTTTATGCACCAAATGAAGTTCATTTAACAGAATTAAGGGAACCAACCCGCGATTATAGTGCTTATTTTAAAATCGTCCAACTTCTTTTTGGCTTTGAAAATACTACAGTAGGTACGGTAAAAAACTTACACTATCGGTTTCCTTCAAAGGTAATAACTTTTTGGTAGACAAACAAAATTGTTTTGCTTTTTAGATAAAGGTGGAGATGTAGAGCATTACAACGTTGCAATCGAGTTGGTTCTGTCGTGTTGAATTCGCTCCAAATAGACTGCTAATTGGACGTATTTATGCGAATGGAACTGCGTTTCACACAAACCCTATGCACATAATTCCTTTTAGCATAAACACGTCTAATTATGAGCCGGCTACCCTAATTGGTGTTGCATATTTAATTAATTATTAGTATTGTCCAAAACTGAGTCGACACTGATCGCCGATCTTCTTTGGTTGTATGGTGTTAGATTGCGGGAGCTTAGCACCAATCTATTGGTGTACGCTATGAATTTAATTATGCTGAACACCAATTGGATTGGATTTTGCACAAAGGAACCAAGAGCATTCCAATGTCGCTAAGATTGTGCAACTTTGTTTGCCTTGCAAATATACACAGTTTATCTAAATTAGTTTTATCTTTACTCCCAATAAACTATAACATAAACACGAAAATTACCTTTGTAAATTTAATTTTTTGCATGATTTCGGTAATTTTATTAAATGAATATAAGATACACAATCTTAGCAACATTCGAATGTTCTTGGTTCCGATTTGCAAAATGCAATCCAATTAAGTTGAGGTAGAGCATTGGTTAGCTGACTCAAAATGAGCTATTTTTACTTTTTCTGTGCATTATTTGCGCACAGATCATAAATGATCTTCAGGATGTTTTGTTACCGGAAGGTAATTGGAAGTAATATCATCTTTTTGAAGGGACCCTTGTATGACTTCCAATAATGAAATTTTAATTTGGTTTTGTTGCAGTTTTCAAAACCGGGGGACACCACTGTTAGCATCCTAACCCTGGAGCCAACGATGGAAGATGACGGGAAGAATCTCACCTGCCGCGCTGAAAACCCGATTATCACGAATAGTGCGTTGGAGGATAAGTGGCAACTCCACGTTCATTGTAAGTCTTCTGTGCTTCACTTCATCATTTCTTTTTCCACTATCCGCACATTTCTTACTTTTGAGAATGAAGAGAAAAAATTGGTAATGCATTTGCCAACATTTCGTAATTTAACCTTGAGTAAAAAAAAACGTTTAAATGACACTTAAGACACTTAAAACCATGTTCAGCATAGAAATCATTAAGCAAATAATCACTCAAGTCGATATGGACGTATTTTTGCTGAGAAGAACTATGCACAGTAATAAAATCAAAAGAAACTAATGGACACGAGATCCTTTTGCACCATGCATACATTTTATTTTAATATAATTTTTCGGATAGTTCCTTTCAGCGTAAAAACGTCCATACGTCCCTCCGCCTTATAAGGTTTTGCCTTTAAATGCTCCTCCATTCAAAACCCAGGTCGTCGTAGTCCCCCGGGAAAAGGAACGTAATTCGATTCTAAGGTTGTAAAGTTAACTAAAACAATCCAATTTTTCACAAAATGGTATCCGCGCAGTTTTTGTCCATGATTCCCCTGATTTTCGCATGAGATCAGAAGAAAAATCAGGGAAATTTTTCATTAGAAATACCCGAGGTTCTCCCGGGAAAAATTCAATTTTTAAGGGGAAATTTGGCAGCATCGAAATGAAGTTGCGCTCTTCCGGGAAGGAAACGACGAGTTGTACATGTTTAGAGTAATTACATACAGTAGCGTGGCGTGCTTTGCGATGTATCGATTGATCTGCAATCTAAACCCATAGAGAAGGATCGACAAACCGGTTGTTCGCAACAAGCACCTTAATAATCGATTCTTCATCACAGCTTCAAATGGGAAAATATCGATAATCGATCAGTCACGCCTCACCACTGATCACATACGTTTCAAACCTCCGAGAACCTCGTATGATTCGGAATCAGACATCTAATGATATATCTGTTCGAAGCAAGGAAGGTCTAGACTCTCAATGCCAAGATATGAGAAAGAACTGCATTCCTCCGATGTTAAAATGGGCATTTTCTTGATCACTTTGGCAACCGAGCGATCGAGGCACACCGCCCCCCGAGTCGTAAAATGGAAGTGCGCCACTTTGAAAAACACTTCAAGCGCAAATTAAACGCCTCCCAGTGAGAAGCTATCGATTCCTAGCGCAATCTTTGTCTCTTCTACTCTGTGCCTTTGACTCTCGCAGACTGGCGGAATTGCGGGAGATTCCTCCAATCCTGGTTGAGAGGGTCAAACTCTCAGTGCATAAAAATGAGGACGGTGGGCTGATTATTCGGATTGATAGATAAAACGATATAAAAAGAGGGCAAGGGGAACATTGAGTAATCTTATAGGTGGAACTGGTGGTTGTTATAGACTAAAGGCGAAAATTATGGACTAACCATACGGCCTATCGGGTTGCCGTTAGTTGGTCCGTTACTACCCTCCCTTGACAATCGCAGCTACCCGCCTCCACCAATGAGATCAGTCTATTCTCCCCGTGTCCTCTTGTCTATCACTTTGCGTATCTATTTCAAAAAGCAGCCTGCAGGGTGTCTAAAAAACTAGATCTTGTCAGGGAATTCCACCAGGTTAGGAAACTAAGGGAAGTTTATGGAAAAGAACTTGAAATTTTGAAAATTCTTGAAACTTTGAAAATGCATCATTGTCTGTCTACACAATCGAGCTTCAAACTGGTTCGGGGTTCAATTCTCTAAGTTACGCGCTAAATAGTGAACAGAGGAATAAGTTTCAAGATGACGTAATTGTTCACCTCCGAAAACTAAAAGTCAATGATTTTGACCCCAAATCGGGTTTTTTGTTAAACAATCTGAGACTTCATTTCCAGGGCCTTCTCACCTGACTTAATCACATACTGATTATAGATGTGATATATATTCATAAATAATTTGTCGAATATCTTTGTTATAGATATGCCCGTTGTTACTCTAAAAATGGGTTCAACCCTCAACCCAAACGATATCAAAGAAGGGGACGATGTTTATTTCGAGTGTAATGTTCGGGCCAATCCCAAAGCACACAGACTCGTTTGGTACCATGATGTAAGTATCAACTCGATATTTTGTATCTACCAAAAATCTTAGTTTTACCGTCAGTAAAGTTCGAAAATAGGCAGAAATGGTCGTTCACAAAAAAAGGAAATCACTCATTCTACAATGAAATTGTTATAAAATATATGCGACATGTTTCTAATGCACATTTTACAATAGTGGAATGCTAATTTAACCATGGTTGTGGGCAAATTAGCATGTTTTAATCGTAAAATCTACATTGAAACATGTCGGCCGAATTGTTTAAATCAGTGTGTACTTGCTACATCAGCAAATTCATTTTTTGGTGAACTACCATTTCTGCCTCACGAATAAAAGCACCTTTCTGTGTGGAAAAAGTAATGCTCTGGGCTTTTTTTGGACAAAAGACACGACAAAACCTACATCGAAATTTGGCGGTTTTGAAAACGCCTTCAAATGTGGCGTGATACCTCCCGCGTTCCGGAGAGTACGAAAAGTTGTATCACCGCGCCTGCCACATTATTACTAACTACTAATTGTATTACTAGTTGTATTACAAGTTGTAATGCCACATTATTACTATGCTGCCGCGCTGAGGAAAAACGCCGTATGAACATTCGAGAGTTGACAAATTTCCTCAAATAAAATATTTAATTTTGAGAAAAGTTACGCATATTTTTCCTTGAACTTTTCAGATATTTCAGATTGAATCGTGCACAAAATTGACCGAAAAATTTGCGGGAAAATATTCACAATTTATCCGAGTACGTTCGGTTTTTCTTGAAAGAAATATGGCAACGTCTAAAGTTTCATACGGCGTTCTTCCTTAACACGGCAGTATGGAATGTGTTCCTTTTTGCAAAATATAATAATTTTGTCGACTAATTTTTGGGTCCTTTTTCCAGGGTGAGGAAATCCATCATAACGTGAGCGACGGGACGATTTTGAGCGACCGGAGCCTGGTTCTGCAGGGGGTGAGCCGCCGATCAGCCGGGCAGTACACCTGCATGGCCGCCAACTCGGAAGGAAAGGGGAAGAGCGACCCCGTCCAGCTTCAAGTCATGTGTAAGTCAAAAACCTTCCCCTATGTATCTTATTTTATCAATGGAGCATCCTTTAACTGGACGTAATGGGCCTGTTGCAAACTTTTGCTAGAGCAAAAATAAGAGTTGTTTCTTATAGATAATGCCTCAAAAATCACGATGAGCGCATCGGCAAACTCTGAAATGCACTCATAACTTCACAATCTGCGTAAGAAATTTGCGTTTTTTTAAGCTTCCCGCTTCAAAAACGATACTACGGCACAGGTGAACATTTTGTTAGAGGAGTCGCTCCGTCGTCGGCGATATTCATCATGGCCGACGCTTGCGCGCAGTTCCGCGCGTAATTCGAGGAGAGTTCAAGGTCAATCAATTCGGGCGTGGAAAATATGAACGTTAACACGCCGATTGTTATCTGGTCTAATTCAGTTCAGGTGTTATCTCGTCCCATCACACGTGTTTTGGCGGATTGGCGTCGGCCATGATGAGTATTTCCCACGATGGAACGACTCCTCTTACAAAATGTTCACCTGTGCCGTAGTATCGTTTTTGAAGCGGAAAGCTCAAAAAACCGCAAATTTCTTACGCAGACTGTGAAGTTATGAGTGCATTTCAGACTTTGCCGATGCGCTCATCGTAATTTTTGAGGCATTATCTATAAGAAACAATTCTTATTTTTGCTCTAGCAAAAGTTTGCAACAGGCCCATTCTGTCAAACGGAACTAGAGACAGGCGGGAAAGAAGGGGTATGCTCTTTAGTAGAGCACCGTTAGAATGCATGAGAATTGTATAACTCCAGTGACGTCAGTGGTGACAGATTTGGTATCGGGATTGACGTCAGAAGTGTTAAACTCATGAACCCTGTCCACAAGGCCCTTGCCACATGCTCGTAGCTCACAAGTTCTGCATTCAGTTGGCACTTAGTTCCGTACGACAGAATGTAAAATCCCGCTTTTCCATTTCTACAAAGAGGATCACGCCCACCTTAATATTGTTTCTTGTTTGATGTGGGGCAGCTCTCTAGAGTACCCTCCCCCCCCCCTATCTAATCCACTCGCCCATAGTTCTGTTCGGCAGAGATAAGAATTTCCACTTGACATGGTGTCCAAAACCGAGAATGCCGAAGGAAAATCGGGATTCATCAGGGAATCTATTCTGAAACCCGAGAATCTCTTTTACTGCCGCTTGGATACCATTCAGTCCGTGGATAATTTAAGTACCTCTGTTATTGAGGTTCATGCTGTTGCACCTGGAAAAACACATTTGAATCCTCATATTATCAAAATAGTAGAAAAGCTTTCATTATCATGAATAGGTAATCATCAGAAACATGTTCGGAATTGAAAATTTGAACGTGCCGGGCTGACAGACGAAAACAATGCCGGATGCATTTTTGATCTTCCTCAAAATCGATAAAGCTTGAAAATATAAACGCAACGTGGGTTGGCCTTCTGCCCTGGTTTTCCGCCGGAACTTTTCAATTTTATTTTCCCACAAAGGAACTCCGGGCCCGAGTCGTTTGGCCATTTGCAAATACCCACATTTCATTAGACCGCCCCCGGGGAACAGTGAAACACCTCTCGGTCAGGTCCGCACTACACCGCCCGACGCATCCATTAGTGACGTCATTCTTTTTATTCCGCGTTATAATGGTAATTAAAAGCATCGGGGAACATAAAAATCAAATTAAATCTAATAGCAGTCGACAGAGGGCGGGTTCGTTTGCGTCACTGCGACGCGCTCCGGGCTTGCCGACACCACCTCAAAAATCAGCCCATTTCTCAGTACAGGGTGATTTGATATCAAGCTTAACAATTTAGGCCATTCAAAAATGTCTTAAAATAATATGTTTTAGTCATTTCTCTGCGCAAAACCTTTCCCTTGGAAGTGCTGCCTTGCAAATTTCGAGGGTAGACAATGGAGAATTTGCATGCTAATTTTTTATTGCTTCATCTGAAAGTGCTTAAAGAGCCCCCCATTAATTATGATAACACCCCCAATTAATTATGGTAGTACTCCAATAAATTAGGTAACTAACCCAAATGTTTCGGTACTACCCTAACTTGAGTTGCGATACTAATACAAATAACTAGAAATGTCCATATCATCCAACAAATTTGGGTAGTAGCACAATTTTAGGGGATAACCCCTGACACTTTTTTTCCGTGTCATTTCGGCCTGAAGAATTAAAATCTGAAATATTCGGATTTACTCCTGACAGCTGGCAATGGCGCATCCAACGTGACCGTGCTCCTTTGTTCCGATTCAGTCGTTTAGTCCCTTCGGATGTTTCATCCCTCATTTGTTTGCTTGTTGGATTTGGATTGTTTTCGTTTTTCTATTTTTCTTTCTTCCCCCGGCTCGGGATCTTCTCCAACCGGGGCGAGTTGCCAAGCGCCCCGAAACGCGCCTGATTTAATTGACTTTGATGGTCCCAGATTAATGAAGAAAAATCACCGCTTGAAAATCACCGGAATGGCGGACAACTAACGAACCGAGTTTTCGCTCGCCACGCAAATCCTTGCATCGCACCATTCGTTTTTTTCTTTTCTTTTTGCACAGCTTTGAGGCAAAATTTATTTTTAAGAGTTAGTAATCTGTCGTGCTAAGGAAAAACGCCGTATGAACGTTTAAGGGTTGCCAAATTTCCTTTCATAAATTTTTCATTTTTGAAGAAAGCTATGAATATTTTTCTGTGAAATTTTCAGAAACTTTAGGTGAAATTGCGAACAAAATTTTATGAAAAATTGGAAGAAAAATACTGACAAATTCTCCCGAGAATTCGTGATTTATCAAAGGAAATTTGGCAACGCCTGAAGGTTCATACGACGTTCTGCCTTAGCACGGCAGTAATGTCGTAGGTGGATCCGATGGGGGCGTAGAGGCTTACTTCTTTTCCGATCCCTCGAAGGAAAGAAGGAGGAAAAGGGAGGAAAGAAAGGTTCCGACCTTGGTTGCGTTGACGTGGAATGACCCCGCTTGTATTTGGTGGTTTTTCACGACGAAGTTGACTCAAACTGCAAGTGAGAACTTTAAAATTTTGAAAATGTTCTCTGAGAAGCCCTCAAATCCCTCTCTCACGCCCCCTCCCTCACGAAGTGTCTGGGTCCGCCTAAGAGTAATGTATACCGCCTTGAAAAAAGCTTGGCTCTTACCAGAATCATGGTAAATTCAATCTTGAGTTTACTTGATTTTTACTTGATGATTGATACCGTTGGACAAGAATAACCTGACACATGACAGCAATGGTTCAAAAAACAACGAATTCTGACCTGAGAATGACTAGTCGTGCGCCATTCCGGTGATTTTCAAGTGGTGGTTTGTCTTCATCAATTTCGGATCATCAAAGTCAATTAAATCAGGCGCTTTTCGGCGCGGTGTTCATAAATATTGATTTTTTTCTGAATTTTTGAATTGAAATTTGCGGCTAGCGCAGCTTAATTCTTTCCAAAATATGGCTCAGGTCAAATTTATCGGTCAATGCATCTTACATTCTTTTTTCACGACACAACAAATACGGAAATTTGCAGCATTTTCAATGGTTATTAAGTATGGCGCAAGTCCTGTTTGTTTAAATCGGTCAATACGTCTTACGTTCTTTTTTCACGGCGAAACAAAGACGGTCATTTGTAGCATTCCCAATGTTATTGAATATGGCTTAGGTCCTTTCTGCTTAGATCATTCGATGCGTCTTACGATCATTCTTCACGACGAAACAAATACGGAAGCTTGTGGCATTTCCAATGGATATTAAAGACACATTTTTACGATCCCTTCACGAACCGCAGTATAGATTCAGGGAGCGAGAGAATGACCGGAGGATCACAACGCTTCTCCTTAATGACCCTGGGGGTTCAATTTTTCTGAACGGAAAAAAAGGAAAAGTGAAAAGAGTGATAAAATAAATCGAGGAACGGTAAACTGATACGAAGTTGAGCTGCGCTTGTCACGTCTCGGGAAAAAGGTCCCGGGACTCTGAGGAGGTGGTGCGTGGGAGGTTTTTCGGTGAAACTTGGCAGCCGCATGTGGGTTCCAGCGTGGTCAGGGTAATTGAAAAAGTTGAGAAGCTAGTTAAAAATCCACAGGCAAAATATTTGTATTGCTTTTCTCCCCGAGCTCCGCTATGTCTTTGGCGCGAGAGACGTCGTAAATTCTATTCCGTTTCACCTGAAGAGTGAGTAAAGCAACACGACGCCGCTCTACCAGTATCGGCTAATTTTTCTCAACTCAACTCTGAAATTACAGTATGGAAATTTTTACCAGAAGTGTGGTAAAGTTTGTCATTAGCGAGGTGGAGAAATGGTTTTGGGTCCACACCAATTGGCGGGGAGAACAAAGTCAAGAAATTCCAAACATTTTACAATTAGAGTCAATTTTTTTTGCTCTAATGAGTCTGATCTTTTGCTCTAATGAGTCTGATCTTTTGCTCTAATGAGTCTGATCTTTTGCTCTAATGAGTCTGATCTTTTGCTCTAATGAGTCTGATCTTTTGCTCGCGAAATGGTGTAGAGCTAGCACTATTTTTCTATCTTGTTACATACAGTCTTGGTCATTTGTATTGTTTTTTTAAAGGGCATTCTAAGTGACTAGCTTATTTGGCGCCTCTAAAAATGGATCCTTCGGTCGTAAAGACCAGCTATACTTCCGCGATCGAATTCAGAACATACCAGAGACATTCGTTCGATGCGAATACTATACAATATTCCATATTTTTAAATTAACGCTTATCAATGTATCACATTCTATCCCAGGTATGTTTGCCTCAAAGTATCTGTCAAAATTTCCAGCGTCCGATAGGAATAAACTTTTTGTGCTGGCGAGGTTTTCTAGTTAAGAGGATGTAACGCAAAATTATGGTAGCTGTTCCTCATGAGGGCCGTAGAAATTGTCAAATGCAGACCTGAAGTTAGTGGAGCACTCGGGACAGAATGTTCGCCTGAAAAATTTAAGTCCCAAGTTCTGAGCGAAAACTTAAATCGAGTCTAAACATCCAACTGCACAAGATTCTATGCGCGGCTGAGAGAG